TCATGTTCCATCATCAACATACGTTATTATTATAAGAGAGACAGCAGAGTACACCATGAATAGTATTATGAATCTAAACTTCTAATATACCAACCAGGCTGGGATCTTACAGGTTGAAAACACAATCCTTGAAAAGACATTTGTCTATCTTACAAAACGTTTGACAATATGGGTATTCACAATGGCCTACATACCCAAGGGATGCCTTTCAAAGCTATTATTCAAAATTAAAGCCCCTTTTAAAAGTATTAGAAAATCAGAATTATATTCACACAAAACTCCAAAAAGTCTCGCTACAATTTAATCATCATATCCAAAGGAAGCAGTTTACCAATACAGTCTGTTTATGTGTTTAAAAGGACAACTAGTATCACCAACAGCTAGACTTTGCCAATATTTAGCAAGTCTACTACTCCGGCAGATGTTATAGAACAATCTCTAACAACTTGAAATTGATAACTGGGCAAATTTAGTGACTAAATTATTACTGACTCATTCAAAATATAACAAGTTTACTTATATAAATCAGTTAACTCTATTCATAAATCATTTATAACATCTCCATGGATTCAAGTAAGTACTTAAAAACTTGACCAGCCCAATAAACAGTTTGATGGTCTAAATATAACTTCAGTGTTTTTTCCTGTCTGTAGTTTTATGAATGCATGAGAAGCTTAAAGTCTTAAATAACTTAATCTTTTATCTTTCATACAAGACTGAACTCCTTCAAGAACAGGATTATTTTTCTTATGCGTAATCACAAAAACCATATTGAGTGCATGCCTCTATCAGGTGTCATACATTTGTTGCCTTTACTTCTCCAAACAATCATATGAAGTGAACCTTGTAACTTTAGACAACAGATTCTAAAAAGCAGACGTATGCTCAAAGCCAATGTGATCATCTCAGTTATTTTTCGGCAAACACTTATTCGAATTCCCTTCTCATTGTAAACAAAGTGACTTGATATCACTAATGCAGGGTTTCTCAACCTCAGCACTACTTACATTTAAGGCCAGATAATTCTTCGTTGGGTAGCTGGAGGGGCACAGGCGTTGACTATCCTGTGCACTGTAGAATGTTTAACAGTATCCCTGGACTCTACCCAATAGATGCCGACATTACTCCCTCCCAAGTTTTAACACCAAAAATACCCCTAGCCATTGCCAAATGTCCCCAAGCGGTAAAACTGCCACCAGCTGAGAATCACTGGACTAATGAAAAAGAACAAGAGCAGAGGTCAGAGGTCTTATACATGCTTATACTATTTGGCTTGAATCTAGCATTTCAGTGACCCGCAATAGAGTGTGCCCTAGCAGCCACTGCCCCCTTTACCCTGAGCCCAGCAGGAACATAAATGGAGAAGATCTAAACCCATCCACAGCTAGCCTCAATCAAGCTAGACTCCACCTTAATCAGTAGACCCTCAGCCGACATACAGACCCATGAGCACAGAAATGAATGCCTATTATTTTAAGTCACCAAGTTTTAGAGTGTTTTATCATGGAGCATTATTGTGGCAACTGTTGACAAATACAGCCAAAAACTGGATAAGCTAAAATTCCAAACCTAGGCCTATCTGTCTCAAAAACCTACTGACTTTATTATATAAAAGAGTTATTTCAAATGAATTAAATATTCTTACCCAGGATGTGCTTGGTACACAGTAGATGCAACAGATGTCTGCTTTATTAATAAATATTAATTCTGTAAAAGTTTTAATACATTTTCAATGGCCTACTCATATTAGTTTCTCGTTCTCACATCATAAGGCCAAACTTCAAAAAGTTGGAAAGGGCACTACAGCACTGCTTCATTTCTCAGACCTTGAATTTAAGACTGTCTTCTCCTATTAGTTTCAGAGCTCTGCACAGCTAAGTCCAAAACACTATCTCTAACACTGACTTCTGTAAGTAAGGTGCTATGTGCAAATGCAAAAGACAACAGGTTTAAAGAAAAAAAAAAATTAACAACATTTCAAAGAATGAGTTTCATACAAACATGCACAACAAATACTTACTGCGCATATACTATTTACCAGACACTATTCTAAGCACTGAAAGCCAAAAAGGTTCCTGCCCTCATAGAGCTTACACTCTTGTAACATACAGTATAAAGACCTTTTCCAACTGCTTCACTCATATGAACTCTTTAGTCCCCATAATCTTGTGAGAATTTTAATATCTCCATTACAGAAATGAGAAAACTAATAACCAGGAATGAAAAGTGATTTGCTTAAGTCACAAAACTACATCACTTCCCAGCCTTTTTGATTAAGATCGAGGTGTAGTACCAAAGTCACAAATCAAGCAGCAAAACTAGCTGGAAGTCTCAATCTGAGTTCCTACTTTTGACCACAGCATGATACTGCCCCTCTACTAACTCTCTAACTGCACATCTTACAACACTTCCCAAGCATGTTCCTGCCTGAGTCGGCTGTACTTACTGTTCACGCTGCCTGGAATGTTTTTCTGTCAAATGGTTTTCATGCCTTCCTCCCATCATTCTGTTCCTGTCTCTCCATTCCCATCATATTAGAAGAGATTTCTTTCCTGATTACCCTTAAAAATGAATACTTCCCTCCATGCACAGTCACTATTCATCTGTCTACCACACTTTATGTTTCTCCATAAAACTGATTACAGCTATAGATTCATTTCTTGTCTTTGCCACTGAAATGTCCACTCCACGAGAAAAGTAACATTGCTTAGTTCATCACTTTACCACATTTAAGGCCTCCTAAAATGATGCCTGGCAAAATGACCAGGTACATGATCACCTACTTGTTAGCCTGGCTGACCCTGCCCCGTCTTAGAAACAAAAAATTTGTAAAGGAATGATTCTCATACTTCAGCATCCACTGGAATTATCTACAGGGCTTAACAGTCAGATTGCTAGGCCTCACCCTTACCCCTAAGTTTCTGATTCAGTAAGTATGGAAAGGGGCTTGAACATTCACAGTTCCCGATACTAGGGTCCAAGGAGTGTGTTTTGAGAGTCACTGATCAAAACAAATGTCATGCTCCAACACACCTGTCAGCAACAGTAGTTCACCATGGCAAGAAGTCACAAGTGGAGGAGGAAGAAAAGGACTATAGTGAACAGGTACCCTCTAGACTCAAGTCCTGACTTAAAAGACTGTATGAAACACATGTCTTTTAAAGCATGCATAAATATCCCTTATTGAATAGGACTTCTTCTTTTAAGAAGAGATGGAACCAGACAGATTAATATTATATTCTCTAACATGGCCTTATGATCTTGCATATTCTATGTTAATGTTCACTGCAGAAACATTATCCCTTAAGGTATAAATAAACAAGAGACAGTTGATATCATTTTGGGATAGTGAAAAACCTAATAGCAGTAGGTCCTAATTGGAACAAATCACAATTTCACATTTCTAGAAATAATCCTAATACCTACTGTAGGCTCACAGTGGTCATGTCTAGGTAATGGTAGGTTAACCTCACTTCCCTAGTCAGAAAGGCCCAAAACACAATCACTCTTCTAAGAATCTGAATTTAAAAGATAAATGCCTGGGAGGCACTGATGCCAAGTTATGTTAGCAAGGCTCTCAACTGAGAAGTTCCATAAACTCTTGCTGCTCAATTCTCAGATGCCCTGGTTCCTAGCCTAACATGACATTTTGGTTTCCAGCTATTCTTTTAATCCTCTGTATCACTCAATAATCTTCCAACAAACTCCTCTTTTACCTACATTATCCAAGACTATTTGTGTATTTGCAACCAAAAATACCTATAAAAAGAGTAAATGTATATAACTTTTAAAAGAGTATCAGATCAAATTTTGCAAATTGTATTGTAACTGTAAAATACCTAAGCTTTTTCCTATTAATTCAACTTAAGACATTTATTTCTCATCTACACACTATTCTGTTCACATAACCATTAAATCAGAGCATATTTTTTGACATTATACTCCTTTTTTCATCTGCTTTCATAAACGTCCTCTGAAACTTAACAAAAACCCACTATATTTTCTTAGTTTACTCAACAGGTATTGCTGCCAATATCATGGGGGAATACAGTGTAGTGAATAACAAAGGCAAGGTTCTTGTTTTATGTACACCTTATATTTTTGGGGGGAGACAGAAAGAGAGAAAATCAAAAAAATGCCCGATTATAAGTGCTATTGCAAAGAAAAAAAAAAAAGACAACGTGAAACAGTGAGTAGCTAGATGGCTTTTAAATAAAATGGTCAGGGGAAGCCTCTCTGAAGCGACATTTGAGCTAAATTCTTAATGACAAGAAGTAGTCAGCCAGTAGAGATCAGAGTACAAATAACACAAAATCCCTAAGACTGGGAGTAGACTTGACTTGTTCTAAAAGCCAAAAGAGGGCCAACGTGACTATAGTGTGGTAAAGAGGAGGGAAAATCATTTAAGATGAGGTCAGAGAAATAGAATGGACCATATCGTATAGGGTTTTGTAACAAAAAGCAAAAAATCTGGATTTATTTAGAAATTAACAGATACAGGACAAGGAGGCTATTCACAACAAGATGCTTATAGAGAGTAGCTGAACAATGGACTAAGATGGGGGGAAGTCAGATTACAAACAGTGGTTTCGGTAAAAATTTTAAGAGCTGAAAAGAACCTTCTAGCCCAACATCTTTATTTTACAGAAAGAATGCTGTGGCCCAAACTGTGGCTTCTTGAAGGTCAGATTAAAGATGAGCAGAGTTGTGCTTGGTGCTCTGTGGCAGTTAGGCCAAAGTGTTTTCCACAATTCCTCACCCCATTTTGAAACCCAAAAGTCTATACCATGTGCATTTCCAAAGTGACATAGCAGCAATCAAATGGAAACAGTATTTATAAAGAAATTTTTAAAATTATCCATGCCAAATTTTTCACAGTTCAGTTGATGACTGACTTTTTTAAAAGTGGCTAATAATACTTAAGTATTTACCACCAAATATACTCTTCCCAAAACACGTGAAGTAGAACAAGATTGAATAAAACAACAAAATATACTTACATCTGGGTATTCTTTTACAGGCACATAAAGTTTCTCTTGTAACTGAACAATAGGTCCCACAGCATCAGGCAATTCTGCACTCCTTTTCTCTGTACTGCCATTTAATGTGTCATTGTACATGTCTTTCCGTACTCTGCTAATTTCTGTTAAAAGTAAAAATTTTAAATGTGTTAGACAAAAAAAAATATTCTTGCTAGTCCAGGGGAAAAAAGAGAGGGCAGGGGACGGTTTCATTGATAAAGTGTTAAAACTCAAATAAAGAGCTCCTGGCCTACTCTATTATTCTCTGGATTAATCCCATGTTGAACAGGACTATAGCCTTATTAATTTCTACCACAAACCAGTTTTTATATGAATCAAATACGTATCTTATTAACTTCAGAGCCCAAGCTCCTTCCTAATCAGTATAATATGGACTTGTTAGTTTTAATTTTTCCGTGTCTAAATGAGGCCAGTCATTCTAATTGATAGCTTCAGTGAAACAACTGTAAGAATGCGTGTCAGACAAAACTAATACCAAAGCCTCTTTTGTACTTAAGAACTAATCTGTCTGAAGGACATTTAAACTGGACCACTTCATTCGATTATTTTTAGGTATCTTTGGAATATCCAAACAGAGATGTTCAAAAGACAACATACTCCAAGTTCAGCAGAAGTCTGAGTTTAGTACACAAATTTAATGGTTAAAGCTATCAGAAGAGATGTTTTAGAGCAAGTAACGGGAGAAAGGAGGACAGAAAACACTTTAGAAAGAGCAAGGGGTAAGGAAAAGAAGATCTAAACCAAGAAGAAATGGAGGCAGGCAGGAGAACTAGAGAACAGAGATGTCACAAAAGCTAAGAAGTGACAGAGTCAAAGGCAGGTTGATCAATAGTATCCAATACTAAAAAACAATGGTAAGATAAAGAGCAAAAGATGGCATCTTGGATTTGCCCACTAAGCCATTGGTAATTAGAAAAGTTTCAAGTAAAAGATGGTAAAAGATCAAATTACACTGGGTTAATGATAGAAATATTAAATGTAAAAAGTAGAGATACCTAAAATCAATGACCTGTTTTTAAAAGCCTGTATTACTGTTCTTAGATATACACATCCTTCATATTTTTTTGAAGTAGAAGAATTCTATTTTAATGTTGAGTCCTATAAAGAAAACTGATTCTTTCAAAAATTGTTAAGCTTCCAGTATGCACTAGAAGACAGGCTCCTGTTTACTGGAACAAACTGCCTAATAAGGGTTGTCATTATTAAGGTTAGCCAGACGCCTCTGTAATGTCTCTCTATGCTACCGTTTGTGTCCTCCTTGGGAGAAAGGCTTACACCCATTAGTATTTAAAAATAAAGCATCCTTTCTTTTTAAAATGTATTTTGTATGGTTTCCAAACATGAAATTTCAATCTATTGATAGTTCCTAAGGAACTATCAAATATGAATGTACTTTTAAATTTTTCTAACTAGTTATTTAAATCAGTTTCAGTTAAACAAAATACAACACAGCAAAAAGGCAGGATCAAAGGTACTCTTACTCAGTTATAAAAATCTTAAATCAATTAAAAAAGGCACTGTAATACATTTTCTGCTTCAGTGATACCAATACTCATTTTATTACAAATTTTATCTCTTAAATAACAATTTGCTTGTTAAAGCTTACCAAATGCTTTCCTCTGAATAGCAAATAAAATCAACACAAATCAAGAGATTACCTTGGATTTGACTACATAAGGGCAGAATTTTATTCTTTCTTAAGGTTCTTTATATACTTCTAGCTTTATAATTAAATATTTCCTAACAATGTCCAGTATCAAATTAGTGTTTATCTTAAATTGGCATATGACAGCAATTCTCAAATCAAGTTTCCAACACCCAAGTAATAATTTAAACATAAATGCTCATTTACATCATTTACATAATTACAGCAAGTAATTAACCAAGAGGCACTAGAAAAATTTAATCTAATTAAAATCACACATATATCCTTTAGCTGGGTCTCTGGACTAAAAAAGCACTTTCTGTATAATAATTACTTAAATTTCTTCTTTAGAAACCACCTATTCTTACTATATAGTTAGTACCACAACAATATCAAAGCCTCAGAACAGCATTAAATAAAACCATATATAAAATTTGCTTAAAAATATAGATGCACACATCTGAAATAAACAGAAAAAGAAAAATGCACTAAGACATGGTAAAATTAGTTCAATACTGAAAAATCTTCTATAAGTAACCATAGTAATGTAATAAATCTGGGGAAGAAAAAATAGTGATTTTCCAGGTAAACAAATATATCAAACTTAGAAAAAAAATCTATTGCAAGTTATCAGGAAATTCAGATGACCAGATTAAAAAATGTACAGAGGCCAGGCGCGGTGGCTCACATCTATAATTCCAGCACTTTGGGAGGCTGAGACAGGCAGATCGCAAGGTCAGGAGATCAAGATCATCCTGGCTAACACAGTGAAACACTGTCTCTACTAAAAATACAAAAAATTAGCTGGGCGTGGTGGCATGCACCTGTAGTCCCAGCCACTCAGGAGGCTGAGGAAGAAGAATCGCTTGAACGTGAGTAGGCAGAGATCATGCCACTGCACTCCAGCCTAGGTGACAGAGTGAGACTCCATCTCAAAAGAATTAAAAAAAAAAAAAAAAAACTCACGCTTCATATATATGCATCTATCTGGTTAGAGGATACAATGTATTAACCACTGAAGTTGTATTTTTATAAACATCTATGTGATTCTTGGATTAATAACACAAAGTTGCATGAGATTTTATTACTCAGCGTGTCCCCAAGACCTTGAACAGTGCCCGGAATACATCTGGCCCTCAATAAATATTTGGTGGGGGTAAAGAAAGGGAAGAAAGAGCTAGGTTTCTGGAGCATGAAAGTTAAACAAGTCATGTTCCAACTCTCAGAGAACTTATTCTAATAAGGAAAATAGATAAGAAGTCTTTGTAGCATGATTTTTTTCAGTCTCTAAGATATCACTTAATTCCATAACAGAACACAAATTAACATGTAAGATAGTAATGATGGAAATCAAAAGATGACTAAGACATAGTTCGGTCCTCAAGGACTTTACAATCTTATTCCCTGTTGAATTTGACCAACTGTGTACTATCTTTATAAACAGGACAAAAGAAAATCATCACTTCCCAGAGTATTATTCAGAACACTGAAGTCAGAACAAGTTCTGATTCCAGTTCTAATAGTAACTTTGTGATTTTAGACAAGTCTCTTTCTTACAATCTCACTGTGCCTGTGGTTCGTGTACTTACTAAATTAATGAACTGAATCCATTTGTTTCCAATCTTAGTATGCAAGAGCCCCATTTATTCTTTTTCTCCATAATCCTATTTTTTAAAGTTTCGTTTTGAAAACTTTCCATTCCGTAAGTCCTGGCAATCAGAGCTTCTTGGAATGTTACCCTAGCAAGAGTTTATGATTATAGTCAAATTACTATAGAAACATGCAATGAGTATGGGTTTGGGAAATGCTTTAGTCCTTTTGTAAGTAGTTGCTTCACAGGCATTCATTCACAAAATGAGGACTGCTTCATAACTAATGCTGTAAACACTATAATATTTGACACAGCACTCCTGTGCTTCATAACTAATGTCGTATACACTATTTTGCTGTATCAAACATTATTCTGCTGTATGCAACATTACAATGCTCAAATGCCCCACCACCACCACCACCACCATACTACTTCATCAACCCACAGCAGTTGTTCAGAGAATTAAAGGTTCAGAACCATTTGCTTAATCACACATAGTACAAAAATTCTCCCAACATGAACCCCAGGCATGTATCTTTTATCTAAATATTCCCAATACCAAAAGAAATTGTTTTAGACATCTCTGAAGATCTTAACTATTATAAATTTGTTTTAATAAACCGAAATATGCTCTCCTAAAATTTCCACCACTGGCCACCACTCAGAAGGCCCGAAAGACATTTGAAAAATTCTAAAATATCTAAGTGTCCTCTTCCCTAAATCAGTGACATGGTTTCATACTCTCCCACTTGTTTAGATGCACTCTCATTTGTCTAGATCCCTTTTAATATGTAAAACCCTATACTGTATAAAATATTCATGATCGGCCGGGCGCGGTGGCTCAAGCCTGTAATCCCAGCACTTTGGGAGGCCGAGGTGGGTGGATCACGAGGTCAGGAGATCAAGACTATCCTGGTCAACATGGTGAAACCCCGTCTCTGCTAAAAATATACAAAAAATTAGCTGGGCATGGTGGCGCGTGCCTGTAATCCCAGCTACTCGGGAGGCTGAGGCAGGAGAATTGCCTGAACCCAGGAGGCAGAGGTTGCCGTGAGCCGAGATCGCGCCATTGCACTCCAGCCTGGGTAACAAGCGCGAAACTCCATCTCAAAAAAAAAAAAAAATTCCATGATCAATGGGTAAGCCGACTGAGGCTATCAACCTCTAGTCCCAAACCCTGGACCCTCCATAATCACTGTTTAGGAGCTGATGATGTTTAAGAACGTCTTTACTTTCTTAGCAAACACAGCACACTGTTGACATGCTGCTGATGATGGTGCTAAGACAAATCTCTACCATTCCATAATTCTACAACTGTTTGTTTAGACATTAACAGAAGACTTCAAATTTTTTTTTTCCTGGTTATTTTCTGCTACACATATCCCTTCAGCAGACTGATATTAATCTATCAGCTGATATTCTTTAAGGATGAATAGTCTCTGAGTCAAGAATCCAACTAACTGCAATTTTATAGAGCACACATTTTTTTGGCCCAGATATCAAAACACAGGCATACCTTTTATCAACTACCTGATGAAATCTCAAACTACAATGGGACCAGAACCTCCCTCTGGAGCCATCAGTTTAAATAGAAAATAATCTGTTTTGGAATCTACAGGCAGTACCATCAAGTTTAGAATATGTATTTTGCAGCTTTGGGGAGTATCCACCTTTAAAGCATTTAGGTTCCTCCCATTTTCTTTAATTTACCTTTTTTTTTTTTTTTTTTTTTTTTCAAATTTCAGTATGCTGAAAATTATTTCTGGTTTAGGTCTGAAAACACATTACTATTTACTGTCTCATCACATTTCTCTGCTTTATCTTTTTTCTTTTCCAAACTAAGGCACAAGTATCAGTTAATTCTG